CTCACTCTGGTTAGGTATTTTATCATTAGATATTATATTTTGAGTATTTAATCAGTAAAAACTGGAATACCTGTTAAATACAGAGAATACTCGATATTAAAACACCAATAGCTACATCGACTCGCCAACTTATCGTGACCCGCAATATAAATGGCGCTTGTGCGTTATCTTTGTCTGTCCATAGTTGGAAAACAGTTGTGTATTATAGATTTGACACTTCGAATTCATGTCTACATATGGGTTTTTGGGCTTTTGTGGGCTCCTAATTAATGAGCCGTAAGAAGTCATTTGCCCAACTAGAGTAATAAAAAAAAGGTGGTCAGTAACAAGCAACTAATTGGTCTGGGCATGAATAAACCTTAACGCAGAAATCTGTTCCTAAATAAGACTAACGTAAGGAAAAAACAGATTTTAGATCCTAACTGTTGCCCTTCAATCATTTGGAAATTGCAAGAACCCTATTCGACCTTACTTGGAACGCCTGCCCAGGTTTAGTGTCGTCAGCATAGTTCAATATATTTTACTGACGTCCCGAAGATCATAAACCCGCTCCCGTTCCCTCGAGATCAATGATCCCGCGCATTGGATGACTTTTGCATTACATTGCGCGCGAACAAAAAAATATAAATTCTTTATTATAATTAATATTATTATTTTTTATTCAATATTTAAAATTCGTATTTTACTGGTGGTAGGACCTCTTGTGAGCCCACGCGGGTAGGTACCACCTCCCTCCCTATTTCTGCCGTGAAGCAGCAATGCGTTTCGGTTTGAAGGGTAGGGCAGCCGTTGTAACTATACTTGAGACCTTAGAACTTATATTTATTTATTTATTTATATCTCAAGGTGGGTGGCGCATTTACGTTGTAGATGTATGTCTATGGGCTCCAGTAACCACTTAACACCAGGTGGCCTGTGAGCTCGTCCACCCATCTAAGCAATAAAAAATAAAAATTTATATTAGTTTCACCTAGCGAGGAATCATCATAGATTCGTAAAAAGTAAAAAGCTTGGCGTGAAAATACTCCCCTGTGGTACGTCAAAAGCAAAACTGATTCTCGAGATAATAATTTGCGATGAAACTTTCTTAAAATACATTATCAGTTGTTATCGTCGATAATGGCGCCATTAATCAAATTCGCTTCTCGTCCTTAACTGTCATTACCGTTTACTTGATACCAAACAGAATTCTAGTCTTATGAGTATTCCCTTCCTTATTCCCTTATTATCCAAGTAAAAATATTAAAATTAAATATCATTAAAAAAATTAAAATACTAATTAAATGATTTTGACGCATGATTATGGAAAAATAATGAGAATACGAACGAATTAAGAGAAGAATTTTATAATCGTAAATGCATATACTTATAAAGCTCTCTGAGTGAATACGTAAATACTAAGTATGCTAGAATAGGATCGGAATAGTTTTCCTGGGAATTAAATCCCGTCGATGCGGCTTAGTAGTAGTTGATTATGTGGGGCAGGTCTTAGGAATTGGAAGAAGAGGAGGAGGACCTCAATCTTCCTCTTCTCCCTCTTCTACGCAGGAGGTGCCGGATTCCGACATGACCCAGTCTGTTGCCCCACCTCAAACCGTTAAAATAGAAAAAAGAAAAGGATCTTAATAGTTTTTTTTTCCCTACCTAATCGTTGGTAGCCTAAGGGGCTATTCCAACTTCGCACGGACCGGTAGGTGAACCCACGGCCTCAACCTGAGAGAATTGCTAACACTAGCCCTAGCAAGAGCAGTGCTTCGCTGAATCTACTACCAAATCGGAATCGCGACCCACTGAGAAGATCCGACAAGAAACTCAGTGGGTTATTAGTTTAGAAATAACCTATTCTCAGACTTAGGTTTGTCAACTGTATGGAAGCATATTTTTGCTTAAGCTAGTATACAAAACTTAGTGAGGAATGAATTTGTAATTTTTTTTTGTTTATGTGATTTAGCGATTTAACGAACTTACAATTTAATTATCTGATAACTCGTTTCAAAATCTAACATCAAATTATATTAGCCATTAGCCATATAGTTTAGTCTTCGTGGCCTAAAGGATAAGACGTCGGGTGCATTCGTATAACAGCGATGCTTCGATGTTCGAATCCCGCCGGCAGGTACCAATTTTTCCAATGAAATACGTATTTAACAAATGTTGACGAAAGACTTCCACGGTGGAGGAATAACATCGTGTAATAAAAATCAAACCTGCAAATTGTAATTTGCGTAATCACTGATGATAGGACGTCTGGTGAGTCCGCACGGGTAGGTACCACCACCCTGCCTATTTCTGCCGTGAAGCAGTAATGCGTTCCGGTTTGAAGGACGGGGAATCCGTTGTACTGCTAAAACTGAGACCTTAGAACTTATGTCTCAAGGTGGGTGGCGGCATTTACGTTGTACTTGTCTATGGGCTCCGGTAACCACTTAACTTCAGGCGGGCCGTGAGATCATCCACCCATACAAGCAATAAAAAATTTTTTCAAAAGACGAATATTCGTAATGCGTGTGAATCAAAACAGCATTTCCTGTTTTAGTTTTATACATACGTACATAATAATATGTGGACAACAAAAACAAATTTAATTAATTATTACTCTCATTCATTATCTCAAACGTAAGTCATAACAGAAATAGTTATAGCCGAGACTATGATAAAATCATAAAATAACACATAATCATTAAAATCCTTATCGTATTTGACACAGCGTAATATCTGTGCTGAATACATTTCATTCATAAAATAACCGCCATACTGGGTGCTGTGTTATCCAAGTGCTTCTAATATTCGTGCTGACTTCAAATTGTTTTCGCGTAAATGTGAGTCATATTTCGATTCGCCGTAAAGTTGTGAGACCAAAAGTTTTTTGATTATTTCATTGGACAGTTATATTGCTCCCATATTAACGGGGTAAGGTTGCCATATCGCGTTTCCTTGATTAAGCCAGACTAGCCCACTGAGTTTCTCGCCGGATCTGCGACTTCTCTTCTCAGTGGGTCGCGTTTCCGATCCGGTGGTACATTCTGCGAAGCACTGCTCTTGCTAGGGCCAGTGTTAGCATCACTCCGGTTAAAGCCCCGTGAGCTCACCTATACGTCAGGGTGAAGCTGAAATAGCCTCTCAAGGCTATCAGCATAGGTAGGAAAAAAAGCCAGCCTTGTTATAGAGAGTTACAGAAGATACCAGTTTGATTAACAAACAATGTAAAAATTTGTTATATGCTTATAAAAAAATTTATTAACACATTACAAGCTTTTTATTTTAAAATTACATTAACTACTCAAACGCAACGAAGTAAAAAAGCTCGCTTTAAGCCTGGCCTGGGTGTCAAGACGCGAATCAGCGACTCGAACGGCATGTGGTCAGCATCACCTTGGACTACGTGAAAGCTATGACCACTTCTCCCTTACCGCGTTTAGAGCTTTTATAAACAAGGATGTCAGCAAAACAGCACGAAAGGAACATCATTGCACAGCTAGTAACTTGTGTGTGTGTGTGTGTGTGTGTGTGTGTGTGTGTGTATTGTTGTGACTTCTGGACACGCACTCTAAATGATTCAGAAAGTTCCAGATAGTATATGAAACCCAATGGTAAAACAGTACAACCTAAAGGGTTCCTCAGAGTTTATCTGACTCGTAAACTCAAAGACGCAACGGCTCCAAACCAATCAAGCTAGAACCATTACATCGAATTCTCCTTAATAGGAAGGATTATCTCTCAATTCCCTAACTCCTCTTTATACTGGGATACGAGCAACTAACTATACCCTAGACACTCGCCGTTTTAATTAACCCCTCTACTAGTACAAGAGTCTCATAAAAAATCATAATCTCCGATAATTATAATCATTTATAAACTAATTGAATTAATGAATGAAATCGATGTTAGCTAATTACATGAGAACGTAATGGCGTGACGGGTACTGTTTTAAGTGATCAGTCTGTTTAATTAACACATTCTTACGTCTTAGGGTTAATAAAGGTTATGCGCACAGTATTATTCTTACGGGTTCTAGACGAATAGATAGTCCACGTGATGGATATCGGCACCCGCATTAAGATTAAAGCAAACTTTCAGTTATATAGTATGATGAGCAATTTCGCAGTACTAATATGCACGAATAGCCTCAAAATTAGTAATAATTGTGAAAAGTAACAATTATAATTAGACAACAATAATTTAATATTAAAACAATAATAAAATAAGACCACGCTATATTTATAAACATTAACAAAAGCAAAACATTAACTGTACCCTTCACACTCTTAAGCTAGACCGTGCGAGAGAGAGATGTGCTGACTTCTGATGATGCGCATGCAGTGCGACGTCACGCCGCGCGCTTATTCACAAACACTATAAAAGCGAAACGTCTGAATGTGTTGAACCCGAGCTACATGGTAGGCGGAGTGGGGGTGTTAGGCTTTATTTTCGTTACGGAATTTCTTGATTCGGTCGCCGCACTCAAAGCCCGCGACAAAAGCTATGCAATAGCTTGACAACTAACTAAATGTATTACTTAAGAGCGTTTCGTGTCAGATATCAATTATATCCATAATTATATTCTAACTGTACGTCTAATCGTTTGTCGTTTAATTAGTTAACGTAATTAAACCGTTGTGGCGTTCGTATTGTATAGGAGTAATTGTCTGCTATTATACAGCCGATTGAATAATAAATTGAATGTTGAGCAGAAGTCACGGACTTAAAACTATTCACATTTGTTTAAGATAAATAACATACAAAAGCGCTACTAAAATACTTCCCCGTCTTTTTAATAATATAGAATTAATGGAACCACTGAATAAAACTATTTGTATTGAACATTTAAAGTTACTTAATTCAACATCATGGGACTTTTCTTTAAGTTTTAAATGCAACGGAATAAACTGGAGTAAAATAAGCACGACGAAATACTGATAAATGTGTACTATTGTGTACTGGTGCGTATGTACTGAAAAAATTACGAATTTTATAAATAACTTTTTAATTTTTTCTTACAGATTATTATAACGAGCAGCCTTACCAGAAGTACTCAAGCATGGGCATATCGGAGGTGCCCAAAGACGATTCCCCCCGGACCACGCCCGATCTGTCTCGTACTGATCAGTCGCCTTCAGAACGACCACATCCAGGCTCCGTGGACAGCGATGATGCCGACGAATTTGCCCCGAAAAGGAAACAAAGGCGTTACAGAACCACCTTCACTAGTTTTCAACTTGAAGAACTGGAAAAAGCGTTTTCTAGAACCCATTATCCAGATGTATTTACGAGGTAGGTAACAAATAGCAGAACTTAATATACAAGACTAATCTAGTTGTACCAAATGTAATTAAGTAATTCCCTAAAACGAATATAAGCATAATAATGATAATCCCTAACATTGGACAGTTGAAATCACAAAAATTCGAGTGGGAGAAACTAACATATTTTGCACAGCAAGTAATGTAATGCATATAAAAATAAGCCAATTAGGTCATCGCTCTCGTGTTGACGCACGTCAACGGCCTTCGTTTTGCATTGCGGGTTCATCAAATATTTACTACTTGAAATATATGTAGAATAGGGCTCGCAGCGCATAAAATAAAAGTTCCACTATTCCAAAATCTTCTATTATAATAATAATTAAGAATTAACACTTTTATTACGTCTTGCTCATTTTTCAACCGTCTTCGCCATCTTCCAATTCTCTGTCATTCTGTCTGTCATTCTCTTCTCTCTTTCTTTCCGATTTCTCTAACTTACATCTTAACGCTCCGTTTCACACTCTTTTCATACGTTCCGTTCTTACCAATCCTACATAAATGTGGATAGTTACGACTAATGTTTGTGGTTTCATTGTCCCCTTTTAGAGATTATTTTATTGATTTTTAGTGGTCTTACAAATTAACAGTATAACCAAAACATGTGTAAGGTATTAACAATATTATTATAACTTAAATAATTTCTAGCAACAGCTATCAATGGGTGTATCAGTGATGGGATGGGATGGGATGTTACACTCTAGGTATATACTGTAATTACGGGTTAAAGTACAAAGATGTCCTTTTGACACGTGTCGGAGCGGCCGACAAATATTGCTCACGCTCTTGGCCACTCATCGTGGGTTCAATGCAAGAATCCGGACGATGGAGTATTGTTCTTGAAATTTCATGTTTACAATTGACCACGACCTGCAACATAGCTCTTATTATTATTATATTTTTATCTATTCAATAAAAATAATAACGGGGCAGTTATTTACCGCTTTTATCACATTCTAACCCCATCTAGACTCTGTGTTTGCGTTTACAACGTTTGTGGCACATTGAAAAATTTTATTCTTAGCCCGGATATCATATTTAAACGGGCGTCCATAAAAAAATGTTCAATAGTATTTCAATCGAAAATCCATATCATCGTATTATTTTAATTAAAAAAAGTGACTAATACGCAATCATAATATCACGTAATAAATTAAAAAAATAAGGTTTTCCCGTTACTAAACTTATCTTAACGAAAAATAATTGAAACGATCATCGCAGTGAAAAGTAAATAATAAGATAAAACAATATTTTATTATCAAAGTAATAAAAATACACAGTAAATAATCATTAACGCATCATTTTGAACAATGTTTTCGCACACTTCAACGCGTGGGTGCTATGACCACTCACTTATTAGAAGAAAACAATAAAGGCGCGATCCCAAAATAATTCAAAAATCTAAATCAATTCGGTTAATAGGTACTACGACATCCAATCCATGTCTGGTCTCATAAAAGACGGCTTATTAATGAAAACAAATTAAAGTCAACTCAGAAATAAGGATGTTTCATCGAGTTTAAATCACACGCCCAACGGAGCGCACTAAATTAGTAAATAATTTACGTCAATTTTAAATATAATTTGCGCAATACAAAATCTATGGCAAAAATCGCTTTACAGGTCAAATCAAACGTAGGTGCTTATCTTTCTAACTAGTCGAATTAAATTATTTTAAGAGTAATGTTTAAAGAAAACAAGGGTAGAATTTTAATCATACAAATCTACAGGGTGGCCCATAAGTCCTTTGATATGAAAAAAAATTTATTAAAATAAAACTAATTACATTATGAATTAAATTTTTATTTACATAAAAAGCTTAAAAAACGGGAATTATTTTTTGAAAATAACATCTCCTAAATGTAATCCGTTGCGATCACGGTACTCTTGCAAACGACGTCTAAAATTGTCGATGATTGCGCGGCACGTCACTGCTGAAATGCTTGTCATTTCTCTGCGGATGTTTTCTTTTAGGGCCTCAATTGACCGCGGGTTTGTGTCGTATACTTTAGCCTTAAGGTAGCCCCACAAAAAAAAATCCATCGGGGTCAGATCTGGACTACGTGGAGGCCAGGAAATGTCTCCTCTCTTAGAGATAACTTTGCCAGGAAAAAGTTGACGGATAACGGGCATAGCAGTGTTAGAGGTGTGAGAAGTGGCCCCATCCTGTTGAAACCACGTCCTGGCATTAAAGCCTGAAAAGTTTTGCAATTCTGGTATGAAAAACTCTTCGATCATAGCCACATATCGCTCCGACGTAACAGTAACTGCGCGCCCTCTGCCATCCTCAAAGAAGTAAGGCCCTAGGATACCATGGGCTGACATAGCGGCCCAAACAGTCACTTTCGGACTATGTAAGGGCTTCTGATGCTTAAGTTTTGGATTGATGGGGCTCCAATAGCGGCAATTTTGTTTACTAACATGCCCGTTAAGATGGAAATGAGCCTCGTCAGAGAACATTATGTTATTGAAGGAAGTAAACCGATTCAACATTTCATTCGCATAATTTTGTCTTTGAATACCGTCAGTTTCCTTTAATTCTTGAACCAACTGAATTTTGTAAGGGTGCATATGTAAATCTTTCTTCAAAATCCGTTGTAACGATGTCCTGGATACGTTTAATGCTCTGGCGCGCTTACGAGTTGACTGTGTCGGATTTTCGCGAATAGACTGTGTCACTGTGTCTATGTTTTGTTCCGTACGTGACGTCCTTGGGCGACCCAACCGCGGTTTATCTAACGTCGAACCGGTCTCCTCGAACTTAGCAACCCAGTTCTTAATCGTTTGAAGAGTTGGAGTGTCGTCAAAGTTGTGTAAACCTTTGTGTTCTCGAAATTTACGCCGCGCAACGGTTGCCGAATTGTCGTTTTTATAAAACTCGCGCACACAAAACGCACGGTCCGCTCCGGTAAAACGCTGCATCGCGACTAAATTCCCAGAAACCGAAGTTACTCCCCCCGCTTCCCCTGCACCGCTCACGCGCGCCCTGTTCGTTTTATTCAAATTTTACTTTTCAAAGGACTTATGGGCCACCTGTATATTCCTATTTCTTCTCCGGATGCTAGAGCAAATAGCTTATGCCGTACTATTTTTTAACGTGTCACATTCTTTGGATTGGAAGCCTTTTTGATGCCCACAAAACATTTTAAGAGTAAAACATAAAAATAGAATTTTTCAACACAATGTTCATTGACAATTTTCAAGACGTCAGATTAACTTCAAATTTTGCTCACGAACCAAAAACTGATTACTGTAAAAAAAAATCTTATTTACGCTATCCCAAAATGTTGACCAGGATCAGCAGAAACATAAAAAAAGTATTTATTTGTATTTCGATTAATTTATAAAGGGTCTTTTAAAACGACCGTTTTTCAAGCGACACTTCAGTTTTAACCAAAATTAAATAATCTATACTAATATATAAATCTACAGTCGTTTTTTACGGATGTTCCGTTATAACTACTGAACCATGCATCCGATTGACTTGAAACTTAGTATCCATGTAGAAAATACATGTACTTAATGGATAGGCTAGTATTTATATGAGTGTTGGACTTCCTAATAATAATGACAATAAATAATAATGTTAATTTTAAATGCCCAGCGAAGCGGGCGAGTACGGCTAGTAGGTATCTGATAAAGAAGATACGCAAATGAAAGGGCAGTATTCAAATCGAATTCCTTCCAGACAAAATCAGGAACTAAAACTAGTAATTCTGGTCATCGCTTTATCAACGAACGGATTACATTGATCTCTTTAATTTAATACTTTTTAATATGATGATACGGATAATGTGACGCCTTATACGATAATAGGAATTAAGTAAATTAATTGTTTCCGATGAAGGTAAGACTACGTTTATCTTTCTTTATTTATTTATTCTAAAATCCCTAACAAGATAAGCTAAGACGGATGTTCGATCGCTTTTTATTGGGCAAAAGTGATGGGCTTAATTTAAATTCCAGCTTGATTATATTGACAGTTCTAAAATCCAGTATTCAATTATATATTAATTAATTAATTATTATTATGATATTACAAATAAAATAATCATATCCATGTTGGTTTTTTGAAATTCAAATTTAATACCGGATTTAAACGAATTACCGAATAAAATTGTCACCTACCTACAATTTGCGAGAGTTCAACAGTTCACTGACCCCAGGAAGGACGTGTTAACATGAACACCGTTGTGCACCGTGAGTCCTGAGTCTTAATTGTATTGGAAAATCTTTTAAAACGAAATACGCGATTTCTTTGCTAACAACGAAAGAAAATCAATTAAAAATGTAATATCATCAAATCGCTCAGTTAAGTTTTTTTTGTTACAGGGAGGAGTTGGCAATGAAGATAGGATTGACTGAAGCTCGAATTCAGGTAGACATATTATTATTTTAATTAATCTACAAAAAAAAAACATCGGTTGTCTGTAAAGTCGGTTTACTGACGATAGTTGAACGTGACAACGTCATAAGAAAATTTTAATTTTATTTGTTTGATAGATATTTTGGATATAGAGAAGGAGGTAAATGAAAATGATTAATAAATAAATATTGGCCTGTAAATATTGGACGAAAACATGTAAATGTATTATTGTATAGCAGCTCTCCACGCGGATGCATCGCTCACTCAAGTAGGAGAGAGACAGATGTCGAACGCTGCCGAATGCGGATCGATTGTGCCTCTTTGTCGCTCGTTGCGCGCTCTCGCTTGCACTTCAAGCCTTAAATGGAACGCCTCAGAGCGAGGTAACGCCGCATGAGTCATGTTTTTTCGTGCGTGCAACCGGCTCCATCGAATTATAAGACCTTGTCACGTCAAAAATATTCCACACGCTTACATTCAGTACGTCAAGCACGAAAATCTATCGAATTCGTAATGTAAATGGATTCATTTTTCGTATCGAGCACTCAATCGAGTGCTCGATACGAAAACGGTTCATTACATTAGATGGTAGTACTCGATACTCGGTAGCCTTCGAGATTTACGTTATCGTTTGTCAAAACAATTTTCGTGTTATCGATTATTATGAGTATAAGTTTCGAGTTTCGAGTACTTGACGAATCAATTGTGAAACGAAAGTAATTAAATGTGGCCGTAGCCATCGTACAACGCAAGATATTTGAGATTTTTAACCCTTTTAGTGCTGAGCAGAGCCTCTAAGGGTTAAGATTGTTTTGTTGTATTGGAAGTCTGCACCGGTAGCTAGCTACTATCACTGAGCCTATGTCACTTCGACAAAGCGGCACGACACGAGAACCCCCTCATCGTGGCCGCCGGTAGCTACATTCCCGATCCTGCGGACAGAATGGAAAGCAGTCGACGTCACCCAAAAGTCGCTCAAGCGACGGTCATCGTTCTCGTCGAACCCGTCGCTTGCGACGAAGAGCTCGACGAGAAAATTAACCCACAGACACGGCCCACTGAGTTTCTCGTCGGATCTTCTCAGTGGGTCGCATTTCCGATCCGGTGGTAAATTCTGCAACGCTCGACTCTTACTAGGGTTCGTGTTAGCAACGTCGTCAGGTTTGAGCCCCGTGAGCTCACCTACAAGCTCGGCGAATCTAGAAAAGGCCCTCGAGGTTATTAGAATAGGTAGGAAAAAAATTAATGATTTTTAATCACCAAATAAATATTATAAATTATTATTTTCTACACATTTCACAGCGCATAATGTCATAAGTTATAAATTTTTGAGTTTTATTGCATTGTCTATGGTTAGATCTTCGCTTACTCTAGCTAATGTTTTTTTTAAAGGGTACGAACATGCACTTTAAAATTTCTCGAATATATTGCTAATACTCTTTACAAAACATAATCCGTTTAGGAATTACACGATAAACCAATTAATCATTAATTATCTTAATCAATAAATATTACTATTCATCAAATTCTTCACGAAGTATTAGAATCGCTAGTAGGTAAGTGCAAATTATCAATTAATCCTCTGTAATTTTTCGTTCTTATTTAATAAGCCTGTTAATAACAAAAATACCTATTATTAATAGAATTGAAGGCCAAACAAACAACATGACGTATGATACATCGATTACTTTTTTTTTATGAATGCGTAAGGGATTACTAGTGGCCCGGAGGCCTTTCCAGTTTCACAAGGGCAGGTGGGCTAGCAACGGCTTAGCTAGGAGGGGTAATCGATTCCATTACATAAGACGGACATAATTTTTTTATATAGTCTCAAAACTTGTAGTCACTTTTATTTGGCGCCATTTCTGGTATAGACCTAATCGATAATGTATGAAAAAAAAGAACTTCAATATAATTTTCACACCTTCACTAACGCTATACAATTTTCATTCGGATTAATTGAATGACCATGTTTAAGAAGTTACTAGATGATGACCGAGCTTTGCTTGGTTTTTTTTTTTTTTGATAACGCCATCTTGTTTTGTCTTTAAAGCTGTTAGCTGCCCTCAATTACGAAAAATAGTATTATTATTCGCCAATAGATGTCAGGAAGAGTTGATTATTGAAAACACGAATAAAACAACATTTTCTGAAAATAAATCGTAGCTAGATCGATTTATCGCCCCCGAAATCCCCGGTATACTAAATTTTATGAAAATCGTTGGAGCCGTTTCCGAGATTCAGATAATATATATACAAGAATTGCTCGTTTAAAAGTATAAGATAAGATAAGATAAGATAGAAACTTCGCGACGTCTCCACGAGTTTTTTTTAAAGAAAGTTCTTTTGGACAAATGTCGTAAAACAAACAATTAAATTTAACAGTAATTTATGTAATCACAACGATTATACTATTATGTATTTCAATTAGTGTACGTGAGAAAAAAAAAGATACTAGAAATAGCCGTGAGAATGCGTACATGAATAGAGGTTACGTCAAGGAAACAAAGGGAACGAAAAAATAGAATAAAGTTAGAATTTAAACGATTTTTTGTATTAGGAAGCGGATTTAAAAAACAAAAAGTATATTACTAACAATAGGTTATTTCTATGTAAATTTTGCGTTGTTTCTAAACTATATTTTCAAGGAAACAACTAGGCAACCTTAATACTAGGTATGCGAATTCTAGTTCAAAATAACAGAATATCACTAATCGGACTATAAACATATTTATATATATTTCTTCTGTGCGTGTGTTTGTCACTGAACTCCTCCTAAACGGCTGGACCGATTTGAATAGTTTTTTTTGTATGCGTTTGGGTGGCGCCCTGGATGGTTTAGATTCACAAATCAGCCCGGCAGATGGCGCTGTAGTCGGTATCTACGTTATTTATATATACTACAACTAAACGGCAGGATCGACTTGAATGAATTTTTGCAGGACAACGTCTGTCGGGTCCGCTAGTTTTCAATAACAATCGTTTTCTTGTACCCCAGAAACAATGAATTATATTCCCGTGGCCCGTTCTCGATGACTAAGCAGCTATAAAGTAGTTTAAGTTAAACGGAAAACATGATTCAATTACTAAACTGAGTAAGTTGATAGCCTTGAGAGGCTATTTCAGCGGAACCGTAACTAGTAGGTGAGCTCACGGGGCTCAAACCTGACGACGTTGCTAACACGAACCCTAGCAAGAGCAGTGCTTCGCAGAATCTACCACCGGATCGGAAACGCGACCCACTGAGAAGATCTGACGAGAAGCTCAGTGGGCTGTGTCTGAGGGTTAATTTACTCGTCGAGCCCTTCGACGCAAGCAACGGGTTCGACGACAACGTTGACCGGTGCTTGAGGTACCTAAAAGCACCGTTAGTGGATCGGGAGAACTGAGCATAAATATAACATAAATATATATACTAATACTAGCGACCCGCCCTTGCTTCGCTTCGAGAACTTTAATTTATTATTGATCTAATTGAATTTTCTTTTCTTACATACTCCTAAGACTGTTTATTTCACCTATTAGCTGATTTTAACTGTATTAAATTGCGTAATACAAAATAATATAGTGTGATCGTATTAGTGTCTACTATGTTTTTTCATTGCTCACAATTTTATTACTTACATCCTAAATAATATGTCGTATTTGCTGTTGGGATATTTATTTTCCGAACTAGGAATAAAAAGCAAATTTTTTAAATAGGGATGATATGTCGTATTGTGATCGCACAAGGGCAGGTTTTATTGTGCTACGTCTACGTGAGCTCTAGCTCAGGGACTACGTGGTGTTGTTTGTCTACCCTAGCCAATAAACAACACAGCGTGAATGCCGCCACCCACCTTGAAACATGAGGTCGAAGTCATGTACGTTTTGTATAGCAGCTGACCCATTACTCAAACCGGATATGGAAAGTAGAGCTAAGGAGCATGCATGCTCTCTGTCATGAAGAAGCGTCGAAAAGCGACCAATTAGAGTGGCGCCGACATAGTAAGTGGTAACCGTATTCGTCGAACTCGACAAAGAGTTCGACGTGCAACCTCAGCTCAGTGCTCAGCTCGCTGAGTTTCTCGCCGGATTTTCTCAGTGGGTCGCGATTTCGATCCGGTAGTAGATTCATTCGCGAAGCAGCTGCTCTTGAGTTGACGCTCGGGCAGCTGTTAGAAATTCCCAACCCTTCTGGCTGAGCCTTTGCACGCCCATCTGTCATGGTGAAACTGGAAGAGCCAAAAGGGCGGTTGCCCTTCCTTCCTAAAAAAAATTACCCTCCATAAAACCGGAATGCATGAATGCTCTGCATTAGAAGTATCCAGATTCGATCATAGTGTACCTACGCTTTACCATGACTGAGACTCCAATATCGCCCTGTGTACATTTTTTATTCTTTTATCATTCTTCTTCTTCTTTATTTTTTTCCTCCGGTTTGTGCATTAGCCAGCCTTAAATAATAAGATTTTTATAAAACGCCGTTTTAATTATTTACAGAATATGAATAATAAAAAACGAAGGAAACTAATCCCGACATTAACGTAAATGATTAAAAAGAATTAAATTTACAAAATATAATATAATCTCAGTAAAATGGTTGTCATTTACTGAGACCTTTTCAGTGTACTTTTTGGAGGATCCCGAGAAGTTACGTTCAGCGGCTTTGTTCCATTTTCCCACATTTGTGCAATTTCACAGATACTAAACAGTTAATGAAACACAGTTATTACGCATTTAAACGTGAAGAAACACTAAATAGACAAAATAAAACAAATCACACAACTTCACTCCTTGCATTCCCGCCAAAAAGCCCCATTTACTATTGTAAATAATGCGAAGTTAAATAATTTTATAAATAAGTTACATAGACTCAACGAATAGAGAAAAGCCTAAACAAAATAGTTATTAGTATTAAATTAAAAACTTAGGCAAGCAAAGGATTCTTGTTCGAACGATGCGGGTCTATTTCTTAAAGGCTTGTTTATTAAATGGGTTTATTAGCAATTTTCTTGTATCATTACCGGTTCGCTCGATCAAACGATGGAGCGATAAAATCGCGCTTGTTATGCCTTTTTATTCTAAAGCAGAACTTAAATTTTATTAGACTACTTATATTAAGATCCTGCCGTTTGCGCCCGAATAATTTGCAAATTAGTTCTAGTGTACCGCGAAATTGTAAACATATCCTGAACTGGATTTTTAATAAAAATTAATTGTATTTTTAGAAGCGAAGAACATTTTATTATTGATTTCATTCCAATTTTTGTAATAAAACGAAAACGAAAAAAATAATCGAATAATAATCTGAATATATTAAATTCCATGTTTTCTTCCCTCGAAAACTCTTTAAGCCGCAGACATTTATCGTCTGCCGTTCTATGGAATAAAATATATGCATATCAAACTAAACGTGGCAAAATGATTTCTTGAAATAATGTAAATATCTTTCGCAAAGGAAAAGTTTGCTACAATAACGAATGGCTCAGATTTAAAAAAATATATCATATTAGGTTGTATGACTTTAGCGGGGTGTTCCGGGACACCAGCGGCACCGTCTGGGCGGCCTGACGGGCTGCCGTACAGGGACGGCTGACGTTTCAGAGCCTTCGATTCGTCTCGAAGGCTCCGTCTGCGCTGCGCTGTCTGGTTGCAGTGTTGACCGCAGTAACCCCCCTACCTTATCCGGGTTCTGACCTCGGAGGGGATCAGATCGAATTTGTATTGGAAACAACAGTCTAAAAAACAGGGATACATGACTCGCAGACGTCAATGTCGCGCAGTGAGCAGAATAATAAACATTACGAATTGATCAATGTGAGAAATAACATAATGCTAGACCTATTTAGCGTGATAAAGGGCTCTGCTAATTAAAACTTGTGCTAACAGATCCGACGAGAACATGTTTAATGAGACAAAGAAATAATCGGAATAAGAATGCCTCGATTACAACTCGCTTCGTGATTTAGGACTACATTAGTCTTTGCATGTCGCAAAAACGTAAACAGAATATTCATTATCGATCCGCCGTGCGTCATTTTAGCGGCCTCTAGTAGCGAGCTCGACCGCTCCAGCCATTATTCCTTAATGTAAGACTCTGTTAAGCCATTAAGCACAGCACCTGGGCCAAGGCGGTGTCTTTTTGTCCAACATCCACCAACATGTTTGCTTCCAATTACACATTAAACATTCTGGTAGTCATATCGGTAATGACCATTGAAGGAACGAAAGAATGTTTAACAAAAAACGTTTTTACGTCGGCAGCTTTAAAGACTAAAATGGTACGCGTATTACTTATACAGAACGACATTTACAGAAACGAGCTTCGTACTTTTTACATCGATACGTTTATCATAAGTGAATTAATTTAAATTGCCATAAAATAACAGTTTACATAATGACCGGACAGTTTCGTGAGTTATATTTTTGAAGTCATAAATATTGTATTTCATAAATATTTTATAGTTTTAATATCTTGGGTTACAAATCGAGTTTTGCGAATCGAGTTAACATTGTAATGTGAATTTTTTAAATGCTTAATTAAGCTTAGTATAGTAAGCGGCACGTGAGTTGGCAAGGTTTTGGTGTAGTGGGGGTAATGTCGCGCACATTGCAACAAAAAAATGGTCACTTTTATTGCCCGCATATAATTTAATTTTATTTTATTAATTTTTTTATTTGCCATAATTTATTTTGAAGCCTGTGTGTTTAGAAGAAAGTTAAAGAAAAGAGAGGAATTCGTGAAGTGTATTAGGTGTTATAAATAAAATACAATTAAAAGTTAAGAAGTTTATTTAAAAAAATATACTTAATATTAAAAATTATGTGTCGCCGTCGTCACTATCATTTTCTCATAGTGCTACCCCTTGGATTAAATTTATGGTAGCACCTGAGCTGGTGGAAGTAGTTGGCTCCTCATCGTCGACATAACGAAGAGTCGCTGTCGTCACTGGCGTAAATAATAAAACGCTCAGTGACTGAATCGACGATATGGTCATTGGTATTCGGTCCTGGCATTGCAAACAACACTCGTAACAAAAACTAAATTTTAAACAATAATAACAACTTGTTACAAAAACTCAATATAAACAAAGGGTTCCTACAACTTAGTAGGCGCATGTGTAACCGGGAGCGAACGGAACGTAGACGCGGTGCGGGAGAGCAGGGTTGACTGACTCACCAATCGCGCGCTCGGAACGGTGCTACGTCTTTCCCCGCGTCCCGCATGACAACCAAAAAGACCTAAAAAACGACTTCTGCGCATCTAGCGACTCTTGCCAAGTTACGTGCCGGGGACTATAATATACGTAGGGATGACGTCACGTTTGAATTCAATCACCGATCTCGGAAACATACCCAAGCTACAATTAAGAAATTCATTTTAAATTCAACATCAGTCAATTACCGATGCGGTTCGTTTGAAGTGAACGAAGAGAAACACAGAAAGGTTGTGTAATCTAATGCTACAAACCTATACGGATCTATATACAATTAACAACATCTTATTTCTATTTTAATGTTTATCCAAATGTTAATTCACATTCCGTCATTGTTCTTGACTACTACAGTTTTAAAATCCAATGGTTTAATGTGTAATTAACCTAAAAATTATCTGAGCATGCGGCATTAACATGTAATAATCACAAGATATAAAGACAAATCTAAATATGTATTACGAAAATTGGATACCTTTGCCTTTTGTCGATTACTGTTACTGGTGGTAGGAACTCTTGTGAGTCCATACGGGTAGGTACCACCACTATACTGAGACCTTAGAACTTATATCTCAAGTTTGGTGGCGTATTTACGTTGTAGATGTCTATGGGCTCCAGTAACCTTACTTAACACCAAGTGAGCTGTGAGCTCGTCCACCCATCTAAGTAATAAAAAAACTTCAGAGGTGTCAAGGGACACCCGGATAGAACAAAGTTCCTTTCTATTAATTAGTGAAGAAATTGTATATTTTTTTTTAAGTTATAATAATAAATTACGGCATTATGAAGAAGAAAAAAACAATACTATGAACTAAATTACTATTGTTGAAACGCTATCTCGAGAAACTGTACTCATTACGCGGACCAATCGGATACGAGCAATGTCACGCGATAAGCGCCTACACGTTGATTGGTCAGAATGACGGATCTAAAAAGTGTCGTGACAACTTTTCGTAAGAATTTTTTCCGTCTAGCCCCCTTTCACAAGGCGCGATAAGGGACTTCGTTCCAAAAAAAGTTTTTTTTATTTTATTTTTATACCTATTTTTTAAGCAGCGTTTTTGTTTGTAATTTTTTTTTATAACGGAATCCAATGACATAGTTATTATTAATTAACTTAAAAACTACACAACAAGACTATAAATCATTTTCTAATAAAATCACCAAGATTTTACGAGAATTTGATGACATCCGGTTTAGAAAATAAAAGTCATTGATTAATAAGCCAAGACAATTCCTATTCTCCTTTATTTATGAGGTATGTGTAGTTGTTCAACAAACTATATGTGGCCGCAAAAACACGAATGTCTCTAGCAAACAACAGGTGCCCACTTTATAAAGTATAATGTAAAAATGACTCTATTAACTGCATACCAATAATTTATTGATACGTTACATTAATTACTAAAATAAATTATTGCTGTATATTTTAATTGAAAACTAAACAATTCGAGAGATTCAAGATAAATGTTTAAAATAATAGATACCGATTTAAAAACAAATACGTGTTTTGTTATCTTAAAAAGTAATTACGTTTTGTTGTAAGTAAAGTTTTGAAATTAACACTAATTGTATAAAAACACTAGAACGATTACTGGAAAATAAATTCAGTGTATCATTTTAAAATGTAAGGTAGCACCACTTTTAATTAAAACGGAATAAATATACATAATAATAATCAGAAACTAATGACTGGAATTTTTTTACGTTGACTTCTGTAGAAAATAGTCATTTTTTCTTTAGCAATGAATTAAAAGTAGATAAAGAACGGGTTTTATTAATCAAGTGGGCATCATCATCTAATTGCTGGACATAGATATGATATATCCCAACTAACGCCACTGATCCTGGTCTACGGCTCTCCTTGTCCATTGCTTGCCATATGTCATTGACAAATATATATATTTATATACAATATGAATTTCGAAAACGGCTCCAACGATTTTCATAAAATTTAATAGACAGTGGGGATATTCGGGGGCGATAAATCGATCTAGCTACGATTTATTTTCAGAAAATGTTGTTTTATTCGTGTTTTTAATGATCAACTTTATCGATAATCAACTTTATGACTCTTCCCGACATCTATTGGCGAATAATAGTACTATTATTCTTTATTGAGAGCAACTAACTGCTTTAAAGACACAATAACACTAAAGCTACTTCAGCAGATGGCGTTGTTAGCCACCCGAAGCCAATGAGCGTTTGGTTTAAGGTTAGACCAAGAAAATGACTTGTTTATTTATATTATTTATGTCTTTTTAACTCACGCGTTCACTTAAACATGCCCAACCGATCTTGGAATATTTCATCTTTTTATCAATATGTAACATGTATTTAAATATAATTAATAAAAAACACAATTTATCAAACAAAAAAAAACCTTTGTCATCATCTAGTAAATATTTATACATATAAATAAAATTGGTGTGTCTGTTTGTAATATTGAAATAGCCGCTTTTTACTACACGCATATAAATATGATACGGTACATATACCAAAATAACATTTTTTACAATTTTTGTCTGTCTGTCTGTCTGTTTGTTCTGGCAAATCTCTGGAACGGCTGGACCGATTTTGATGAAACTTGCACTGATAGGTAGCTGATGATATAAGGAGTAACTAGACTAGCTTTGAGTCTCGCGGCGTCATCCGCGGTACGACAATAGCCGCGGATTACATCGTGGGACTCAGCTATCAATAATAAAATTTTGTTTCCGAAGCGAAGCGAGGGCGGGTCGCTAGTAATATATAAAACATTTGAAATTTACTGACTTTGTGTAATTCTCTTCGCAGGTCTGGTTTCAGAACCGACGGGCGAAGTGGAGGAAACAGGAAAAAGTTGGCCCCCAGGGACACCCCTACAATCCTTACTTGAGCGCTACGGGAGCCGCCCCACCCGCCTCCGTGGTCGCCTCCATGCCGAACCCCTTCACACAACTAGGGTTTGGTTTCAGGAAGCCCTTCGATACAAACGCTTTAGCTTCGTTTAGGTGAGTAGATATGTGAATATGTATGTGAATATACGAGTATATGATAGAGATTATATATAGATATATGTGTAAATTTTATATTATTATCATGATATAATATTTTGTACGTTGTTTATGTGATTATACAAAGAGTTGAGAGATAATACTCTTAAAATATTTAACTTTTGAAGCAGTTTGAAAACGCCCGTAAATTCGACCATGTCATAGTTAATTTATAAACAAAAGTAATAGTCAACCTAAAACAAATGTGTTTCCAACAGGTATGCTGGGGGTCCAGTACTTGGAGCTCAATATCTCGGTGCACCACTTCCACGACCACCAATGTTCAGCGCCCCACTCTATACGAGTTCCCCCCCGTTTCATTCCCTCCTCGCGGGTTTAGCTCCTCCCCGACAATCTCCCGATCCGCCTCCTGTTTCTCCTCCTATATCTCCGGGCAGCGAGTCTCCTCCTAACCAGCCTCCAGTCCAAGAAGTGGAGAGAAGAAGTTCGAGCATCGCAGCCCTCAGGATGGCCGCTCGGGAGCACGAATTAAGATTAGAGATATTGAGGCAGCGACATCATAGCGACCTCATAAGTTGAGTTTGACTATTATCCTAACATGGAAGACCAATTTTAAAGAATACCCAGGTCTTAATTAGCCAGATCTGCGATTTAATATAGGAGAAGACTGCTGGTTTTGGTTTTGATTTTTAGTATTGAGAATTCTTACCGACAACGTTATGTTTCCTGTTATAATCAATAGGTAATTATTAGAACACAAATTAGGCAGACACTACTTAAGTTTGCCGTGGTTTATCAGCGAATATGATGCAAATTCAGCCGCCTTAATAAGTTCCAGCTAAGTAGACTGACCAATCACTTGGCATTCGTAATCTGTAATTGACTTAAGCACTTAACAACCAGTCAGCTTATTAATATACGTTAAAACAGTTGAAACTTGTTTTACAGATTTGTATAGTAGAAAACATACTTCGTCTTCTCGCATTAAAACTGTATAATCTCAAAACTTACTAATTTTACAGGAGAGTGTTTTGAAGGCTTAACATGTTATATTTTTAATATTAATCATATCTGCAACATTAATTTTTAAATTTTACCAGTTACATTATCTGTCTTTTAAAGGTAAGATAAAATTATGTATTAATTTTGTAAATAGTAGTCAAAACATAGGTACCTAAACTAAAAAAATAATTTAAAACTAAACTACGTTCTTTTGCCAGTATTTATGACAAAAACACTAGTGATACCAAATGTTTACGCATATTAACTCAAATTAGAATATTTTTGAAAATTGTACACTTTTAATGCGAAAAAGCGACTTGAGGAACTGGAAAAATAAAATATTTTTTTTATTCTTCAACGTCCTTGGGGCGTGCGGTTGGTTTGTTTCTAGCTTAACTCGACTTAAAAAAACTAGTGACAAACTTCACTCAGAGTACACGTTTGTAACTTCACGCATTTAACTATGTCATTTAAGTTACATTACGACCCTATTTTTTTAAATTCATAATATTAAATTAATTTGATTTTTCTTACAATTTTAAATCAAACGATAAAATCGATCAGTATCTTCACGGTTTGTCTTAAGACCACAGCATTGAGTTTTTGAAAAACGAATACATATATGTATTTTTTTTTCAGAAATTTTATAGGCGAAGGAATTTTTATCTAATCAGACTTATTTTGTTTTTAAACGGCTGGGATATAATAATTCGTTTTGTAATTAAATAGAAAGAAAAAAAACATCAAAATCTTTTAGCATTGAAGAAACTATCGTAAGATCATTAGATATTATCGAAAATAAAAGATATTATGAACACAAACGCCGGCGCTAATGGATTTAATAATTTTGTTATCAAGATGTCTATCGGATCGTGTTAAAACATAGAAATGGGATCGTTGAAAAATGAACTTTATTGCCACTATTCCTTTGCGTTTCAACGTCCATTGTATAAAGTCCGAGACTATAATAAAACAGACAGCATATTATTTTTCTTTGACATAGTTTTAAGAAATTGTTTTAATTGTTTTTAATTTGTATACGTAGGAAGTGAAAACACACTTATCGTTTGAACAGTGTCTCAACAACGACATCGGGGCCTGAATTCACGTTTGAACTAACCTTGACACGATTTTTAGTGACCAATAGTCATTTGAACGTATGTGTAAAAAAAAAATCGACACTTAATTTTATACAATACTAGCTGACCCGGCAGACTTCGTAGTGCCTCAATCGATAAATAAAAGACCCAAACTTTTGTATAAAAATAAACTTCAAACAAATAAAAGGAATCCGTCCGACGGGGGACACATCAAAGGAAAAACAAAATTGTTATTTTTATTTAATTCCGAGCATTTTCATATTTATCTACCTTTTAAACCTTCTCTGAACTTCCACAAATAATTTAGGATCAAAATTAGCCAAATCGGTCCAGCCGTTCTCGAGTTTTAGCGAGACTAACGAACAGCAATTCATTTTTATATACATAGATAGATGTCAAAGCTACTTTACAAATACTCATTCGTTTTGTTAACAAAATATAAAGTTGTACGAATGTAAATATACGAACAATATATTATTATGAAAATAATACTCTCCCAAACAATTTCCGAAAAGTAGGAACAGAAAGAGAGATTTTCAAATATTTTTTTCCAGAAAACGACCGAATTAATTTATGCTATTATTATTCATCAATCGATTTCCTTTGTAATTCAATTTACACATTGATATTAAGATGGTATTTGTAATATTACATACATAATATTCTAATAGAACAAATGGAGGAAGATTCTCAATTTACACGCTTTAACAAGAAAAAGTGGTATTCACTTCCAACGTTGCTAATTACATTGTATATATTAATTACGAATCCGTCCAATACTACATAAATTGCCTTATTTGTTATTTATTGTAATTATAAGTCGGTAAACAAGCTATTGTATTAAGTTTTTATTTTTATTTGGTAATTCTCAAGCATCATCCGGTGCCTTTGTATGTATTTAAACTTCGCATGATTCTTAAGGAATAAAGATGTTGACAATAAATATTGGTAAAGTTTTATTCAAATGGACAATCTTTAAATAGACACAGGGTAAATATAGTCTCGTACACATGCAATTAAAATTACAGAGTTTTATATGTACAATAATACTTTATAAGCTTTCACAATTTATATCACATCCGCTATTATTTTTATGTTTGACATACTCGTAATTCCCGATATATTAAGGCGCAGTTACAAGCACCATGATCACAAATACTATTTAATGGTAATAACTCGTTAAGTAATCGTGTATGTAACACAAAAAAACTATACCTAAAACATTTCACAGGTCTAACAAGACAACGATTGCACTAGGAGAACTTTTAAACTTGCGTTAGGGTTTTGCGCGAACTAGCTTGTGCTTTATTTCCCCCTACCTATTCGCCGGTAGCCTAAAGAGGCTATTGCGGACAGTTGGTCAGCTCACGGGCTCAACCTGAGAGAATTTGCTAGCACTAGCCCTAGCAAGAGCAGTGGTTTGCAGAATCGACCACCGGATCGGAATCGCGACCCGGCGATGAGAAGATCCGGCGAGAAACTCAGTCGGCGTTTGTGCAGGGATGCACGCGGTCAACCCGACCGCGTAGACAAAGTATAAGGATTAGAAATGATTTGTATTATGAGCTCTCTCGCTGGGCCGGACATACGTGTCGCAGAGCCGATAGCCGATCGAGCAGACGTCTTCTGAACTGGAGACTACGTACCGGTAAGTACAGCGTTGGGCGTCCCTTTACCCGTTCGACCAATGACTTGCGGCGATATGCTGGGAAAAATTGGATGCGAAAGGCGGAGGATCGTTCATTGTGGCGGACTACGGGGGAGACCTACATCCAGCAGTGGAGAGATACAGGCCGATGATGATGAGCTCGCTCGGGACTACCAATACCAATCTGTCAATTTCGAACGCAAATCTATCACGCATTCCGAAACGGAGATTGGCTCTACAGTTACGCAAAAGTATTGAATTACGACAAAAGTCAGGTCTTTTTTATTTTTATTTATTGTCCTGGTAGGCAGACGAGCATACGGCCCACCTGATGGTAAATGGTTACCGTCGCCCATGGACTAAAGCAATGCCAGGGGCAGAGCCAAGCCGGTGCCTACCGTTTAATACTCTACACAAGCCTCGTTTGAAGAAGGACATGTCATAGCGCTGGGGAAACACCGTGGAGGGGAGTTCATTCCAAAGCCGGATGGTACGTGGCAACGTAAGGTAAGGTAGACCTTTCATTTCGGTACATAGTAAGGGAGTCGAGGATTATCGAGGAAGCTTTAAGATAATTACATATAAAAACAAGTTTCATTTTTTACCCCAAATATAATTTTAATGGGTTCTGTATATAAGGCTTCCAACTTCAGAACTTGAGAGCTTGTTAGGACATACAATTCGGCCGTGCCCTGATATCTCAAGGCAGCATACATGTTGTAACATATATCTGCCTCTGGTAGCCATTTACCACCAGGTGGACCGTTCGTCTTTCTAGTGAAAAAAAAAAAATCTAACGAAATCGAACTACGTAAAAAACACACACACACACACACACAAACACACACACACCAAAACCGACGGGCGTAATGATCGTTTCTTAATTACTTAAATTTAAACAGGAAGAAGCGAACAGCCAACGACCATCAATCAAATATTTTTATTACATCTGCTAAGCATCATTCATCTGAACGTGGAAACATTCATTAATAATTTAATCGTATCTAATTAAAATGTTATTCAATAAACTGGTCAGGTCAGAGCGTTATTGGTCAGAAATTATGATTGAACATTAATTATTAAAAAAAAAAAAAAAAAAAAAAAATCAATTACATATTTGCTAACGAACGAACAACCGTGACTCACGATCGGGGTTCGATTCTGTTATGTATTTAAATTATAATAAATATTATAAATTGTTTTTCAATTCTAACTAACGATACCCGGTCACGTTTCGTTGTGAATATCTTATTTTTTCAAACTACATGCACAGTAATAGGTATAACCGAAACTTTCCCTTAATGTGCCTTATATTAACCGTACCGTAATTACAGGTGGTAGGGCGTATTGTGAGTCTGCACGGGTAGGTGCCACCACCCTGCCTACTTCTGCCGTTAAGCAGTAATTCGGTTTGAAGGGTGGAGCAGCCGTTGTGACTATACTGAGACCTTAGAACTTATATCTCAGGGTTGATGGCGCATTTACGTTGTAGATGTCTATGGGATCCGGTAACAACTTAACACTAGGTGGGCCGTGAGCACATCCACCCATATAAGCAAAAAAGCTTAAAATCTCAAGGTCAGCTGCTTCACGAATACGTCTACTACCGGATCGCGATCGCGACCCACTGAGAAGATTTGGTGAGAAACTCACCGGGCTGATGTATGGAAAAATAAACTTATAACTTAAGTACAATATGCGGACTTATTGCTGAAAGCGATCTTTTCCGGCCAACCTTTGTACGGAGATAGTTTTGGAAGTAGGGGTGTTTGCCGTAATCTAAGGACATAACAAAAATACTTACATAATTACAAAAACTATATAAACAAACCAATCCATATATACCAATAATTTTAAACATGGCCACTAAAATACACTTATATCCAATATAATACATCTATACTAATATATAAATCTACAGTGGTTTTTACGGATGTTCCGTTATAACTACTGAACCATGCATCCGATCGATTTAAAACTTGGTATCCAAGTAGAAAATACATGTACTTAATGGATAGGCTAATATTTCTATTAGTGTTGGACTCCCTAATAATAATGAAAATAAATAATAAAGTTAATGCCCATCGAAGCGGGCGAGTACGGCTAGTATTATATAATATGACAATGGCTTTGTTGTCACAGATTTTAACAAAAACAAAAACAGGGCGCATCGGTTTGCCTCAGTACAAAATTAAACCTTAACCGTGGAAGTCATTCGTAAATTGTCTTTAAACAAAAAAAAAGGAATCACGTATGTTCATCAAAATAATCAGTTGATTTTTACCTTTAAAATAAATTGGTTTTATTATCAGATATTTT